GTGTTTACTGGAACGGCTACTCAAAAACATATGCATCCCCTTTGCATTTTTACAATAATTTTTGGAGATATATTTACTAAAAACAGCCAATCTTAAAAATCAAATATTTCTATTTTGTTACGAATCATTCTTAATTTCACGGGACCAAAATATTATATACCCTATTTTTTACAGTAATATTCTTACAGTACCAATTTTACAGTAAAATCCGAAAAATATTATACCATAATTTTTTACAGTAGTATTTAAATAATTGCAGTAAAACTATCTACTAATTATTTATTAATCTCAAATTATTTATTAATCTCAAATTATAAAATTAATTACAGTTAAATAATTTACTGTAAAATTGCTTTCATGGATGCTGCACTCAAGGTGCCAGTATGTTTTTACCGTAATTAGATCCGAAGTTTCTTACTGCGTAGATAGAAATTTATTTCAAAAATTTTAAAGCTAATGATTAAACTTCATTTATGTATCAATAACATAATTTATGTTTATGAACATAATTTAGATTATATTACTCTTTCTATTTAGAATAACAAGAGAACGAGTTTGAAAAGAAAATATCCATTTTTTAATGAAGGGACGTATTCGAAATAAAAGGTCAGAAAGTTGTTTAGCAACAATCTAACTTTAATCGATTTAGTTTTCAAGCTAGATTTCAGTTCAATTTACTTGTTCAGGTAAAATTTGAATCTCCCATTCCTTCCTCCTAATAACAACTAATAAAAGTGTCCAAGTAGTTTGAGTAACTAGATGTAAAATTGAGATTGTAAGCAAAAGTTAAATACAATTTTAAAAAACAATCTTATTGAGTTAATTTGAAATCCTTCTAGCGCAACAACAATAGGTTTAAATTATATTCCAAAGGAGACAGAAATTATGCAAGTTGAATGAAATCTGTTTCGGTAAAATACTTTTTTTTTTCTGATCTTTTAATTGAATAACTTTTAATATTCACTTAGTAATTTGCTTTTCATGAAGAAACAAAAGTGATTGAGAAGCATTTGTTGGGGTTAGTTATCGAAACGAACAGGGGATGGAACTCGTTAATGCAATTATAAAAAATACAATTTAAGAAATATTTATACTCTTTAATGAAATAAAATTATTGCTGTTGTTTCAAAAAAATTAAATAGATATCGCTTATCAGAATAAACTGATCAAAAACAAAAAATATATATTTTCAAATTCTCCCTTAGTACAAGTTATTCTATTTTAATAATTTTTTATGCTGGAATCTTTTATTGAATATTACTTTTTCGATTTCTGTATTAGTAACGTTTTATTACAAAAGAATTGCATGTTCAATAAAAATTTTAAATGTGTCATAAAAAATTCCTAATATAATCTTACATTTTCGCGAATATTCCAGTCTTTTCAAAGGATATTTATGAGATATTAAAAGCCAATTGTCGGGGATAACAATAATTTATTTCATGAAAATTCATAAACCTTGATCATCAGGCAAATGACAGTGAATAAAAATATAATTTCAGATATTTAATCGATATAAAGTACTTACATTTGAAATGTGGTTTTATTTATTGATTATTAATATTTATCGATATTACTTTCAACCACTAAGCAATAAATTTAACAATTTTATCGACAGTTCAATTCACTTAAGACAATAATTTTGATAACACTAAAGAAAATTCGAGTATTATGTTTAAGATAAAGATTTTTAACAATATAGAAATTTCAAATATGTTTGTGATCTTACTTATAGTAATTTAATAGACAATTCAAGGATACTTAGATAGGGGTTTTAAATTTTATGGACAGGATCAAGCATGCTTAAGGTAAGAATTTTAATTACATTATTGGCAACTCTAAAAAGATAATAATTTCTATACTTCACTCAAGTTAAGGAAATAATTTTAATAATATTGTGTATAGACTATTCAAGTAAGTTTAAAGCTGCACTTTACCTTGGATGTTTGTAAATTATTTGCCAGTCAATTCTTATTAATTGTTTGTATGCGGAAAATATAGTGCCTATATAAGATTTTGCATGCAATATAAATTGCATTTATATTGTGTTTAGATGAAAGCAAGGAATATGCAGGCAAGTCTCATAATGATTTATAAACACAAGTTTTCTATTTTAACTTACTAAATAACAACAATATTATTGATTTCATTTCAAAGCTGTTCAAGACAGTTAGTGCAATATTAAAACTTAGTGGCACGACAGTCCATAGAGGGTCAAGGCCTACTGTGCCCATATCAGTTTTCTTGACCTAGGGATCTGGGGTGCAGGAGCAGATGTTCCGGTTTAGGTGGTCAGCCGAACGCGGAACCCCCAGTGTTTAGTTCCCAAGCATGCTTGGTACTCATTTATCGATCCACTGAAGGGATGAAAGGCTGAGTGAACCTTGCCCGGCCCGAGGATCGAAGCCAGGACCTGTGGCATGGGAGTGCGAAGCGCTACCACTCAGCCACCGGACGTCTTAGTGCAATATTACTTGATTAAATACTTATCATTAGCTTCGAAAATATACAAATTGAAAATAACAGTTAAGAGCTCAAAAACATGTGCCGGTTTTCAAGCTTTAACAAACGTAAATGAGAAGAAACAAAAGTGATTTGAAATATAAAACGTAAAGTTGCCAATGAAAATAAAAGGTGAGAAGCAGAACTAAAAAAAACGCAGTAGCCGAGAGAGAGAAAGAAAAGACTTCCAATTTTTAAATTTTTTGAAGCGAAAGACGTTTATGATCAAGTAATATCTTTCGGTTTCACTTCCTTGGGATTATTTATTTAGTTAGTGCAATATTAATAGCCAGAAATTTTACTGACTTCAATAATAAGTAATATTTTTACTATGGAATCTGTAAGTAGCATTTTAAAAACACTCAGTTTTTCAGAATTAAAAAGCTATTTTTTAAATATAAATAGAGTACCGGTTCTATAACGTAAAGTAATTCAATCAAATCGTTAAATGAACCGGTTTTCATTGAAAATCCGCTTTATTTATTTTTCTAATTTGAGTGAAACGGACATTATTATTAAATAAAATAGCTTAAAAATTAAGAGAAAAAAACGAGTTGAAATAGTTATTAAATTTATTTATTTACATGTGGGTAGAATTGAAGTAGGTAAAAAAAATTTCATATAATGATCAACATGTTGAAAACAACAGGAATAAGTATAATTTTTTTAGGATAATTTAAATTAAGATAAATGTTTCTTTCATGAATTATTAAAGCAAATAATTTGAATATTATTAAAAATTATCATAAACTACTTTTCCTTAAAATCACTTTTTATAAGAACTCTGTATTTTAACATTTTATTTTGAAAAAAAAGTAATAAATTATTTTTTTGGTCAAAAAATATGTTTTTCTATTTAAAATAAACTACTGTCTTTTTTTACAATTTTTAAACTCTTTCATATTCTTATGGTATTTAAAATATAAAGAAAAGTTTACTGTTCGCTTATTTCATTTTTTAAAAATCATTAAATATTGTGTTTGTATTTATTTATATTAACTAGCATGTGATAATATTGCACTTTTATTCATTCATATTGAATAATATGAATAAATTTTAACGACATATTCATTTTCACTAAATAAAAATAATGACTATTACTTTTGCAATTATAGCTATTATAAAAAATAAATAAGTTTTAAAATTCATTCGTGTAAATTAAAGGAAAGAATATTATTTTCCTATCTATCGATATTAAATAAAATAAATAAGTGTTATGTTTCTCATTCATTCTTATTAAATAAAACGAATAATTTTTGAATTTAATTCTTAGAAATAAAATGAATGAATACTGTTTTCATATTTATTCATTTATGAAAATATAAGTATTTTGTACATACATTTTATTCAAAACGAAAAAGAAGATACGTGTTTTTCATATTCATTATAGTTCTACATACACATATAATTATTAATAAAAGTAAAAATAGCGTATAAAAAAGCTTTAAATAGCGTAGTTCAATAGCATAAAATCAATATGTTACCAAAGTTGAAGTACAGCCATTATAATATGTAGTTTTGAAAATTATTTTCTTTTGTAGTATTAATTATAAGACGATTCAAGACTTTATAATACTACACACATTACAAAAAATTATAAATGCTAATATAAACATTATTAATGCTTTTTAAAAAATGCTAATAAAAATCGCAAATTCAAATAATTTCTTAAAAAACTTGATTTTTATTAAATAAAATAAGTTTATATTTTTGATAAATATGACATTGATGATATTTACTAAAAAATAAACTTTCCTTTTCAAAAAATACATTATTAAAAATACATTTAACACATTTTCTTAAAATAAACAAAAGCAGTTATCTTTCATAAATACGTCTGATATTCTTTTTAAAAAAATAATTATGTATGACTAATTCTTTTTAAAATCAATTATTAGTTGTTATTTTGGCACGTGGGGTTTATCAGATTATATTCAACAAAATTTCTTGCCCTTATGTAAATATGAATGGATTAATTAATAAAAAATAACGAATAAATAAACAACCATTTTTAGCAATATTGTATTCAATAAATTATTTGAAATGAAACCTTTAAATAAAGCATTTAAGCGTGTCAAATTTATGTTCCAGAACATTTTTTTTTAACAATGATACTTTCAAATCAATATCAAATTGATTCCCTTTTTCTATTTTTAATAATACTTTTATTAATATTTATGTTCGCTTTGTCTGAAAAATATTGAAGTCCACTTTCTAGTAATATATATATGAAATACTATAAAAACACTTTATTTGTCATGAGTTAAAAATAAATAAAAATATGTGACATATTCATAAATATTATGTTAATTTTATTAATAAAATGCTGCATGAAGAAAATTATACCAAAGATATCGATTTACAGCAATAAATGATATTGGTTTAAAAGGATTTAAATATTTAAATCATTGATATATATATATGTTCAAAGCAAAGTTAACGCATACAAGTGGCCGTAAGAATACCAAAAAAATTCTAATAACATAATTTTTTCATACCTGTTATGATAATACTTTCTCACACAAACATAAATGGCACTATGGGTCCCCACCAAACAGACAATCCAACAGGTGTTCGAACGAAAATAAGGTTTATTTTTTATAAATTCGAAACCAAAACGCGGGAAAACACCATGCTCTTTAAATATCGGCCTCGCGGCAACGTTTCGCCTTCTTACCTGTTCGGATTCTTTCTGTGAAGTCTCAGGTCTTCCAAAAGGTAACTTCACTTTCCGTCTTCGAATCGCAACAGGTAACTGGTTTTTTTTCTTTTTTTCTTTTTTTTTCCGCCATGCTTGCAGGTGAATGAGGGAGGGTGGACATGTTGGGGGTCAGGTAAGGTGACGTCATCTGGGGTCAACATCGATGAGTGCTGTGTGTGTGTAAAGCAAGAATTCGAACGAATTGTTTTGGGGAGGAGGAATTGTTTTTGTGTGAATGGTCTGTGGTATCTCCATGCCCTTGAATTAGAAATCATGGCGATATTGCGACATCATAAAGCAAATTAAGGAAATAACTAATAAATGAGAAAAAAATAATTTAAAAAAAAAATAAAGAAATGGTGAGATGACTAACATTGATTTAGAGATTTATTTTTGTTCATACTTTCTAATTAACGTTCTATTTTTTATAAAGGAAGAATTTCATCTCTATAATGCAAAAACAAGAATATATATACCGTAAACCGGGGCGAGTCTACCCATCCAGGGGCGAGTCTNTTTACAAAAGTTTGACCACTTGAAAGTTGACAAACTGAAAAAATGGGTAGACTCGCCCCGGTTTACGGTATATGTATATATATTTTTTTTTTAAAAAAAAAGAGCATCCTTATTTAAACATAATTGTAAAAAATATTTTACAACAATCGTGACTGTCTGTTTGGCAGAGTTGTCAAATCAAAATTAAAAGGAAATTTGAATTTTATTTTGTACCAATTGTTTAATACTAATGTTTGAAATTAGTTTCTTACGATTTATTTTACTAAACAATTAGATAAATACTAATTATTTAATGCTAATTTACACTACAAGAAGTTCATTTTTTATACAAACGTATCTACTATTGGAGTTTTAAGAGCGACTGAAGTTGCTAAGATTCATTTTGGGTTTCTAGTTTGTTTTTTTTTTTAATAGTCTTCTGCACGAAATTCCGTAAGCCCAAAGCCGCCTTAAGAAGAGGGCTTGCGGAAGCTGTACACCGAAATTTAAAAAGCCCCCAAACTTTTTAAGGCTCCTCATAAGTTTATAAAAATAAAATCGGTTTTTGCAATTTTCTAAACATTTATAAAATTTTTACAAGCGTAATGTTTTGCAATCTGTTTTCAAAATCATTAAAAATAAATTACGTTTTGTAAGTGTAAAATTTGGAAAATAAAAAAAATATGTATTAAATTTGGTCTTGTTATTTCCTTTTACCTCTCACACCACTGTCCCCAATCCCTTAACTTAATTTATAATCTTCTTTTGGTTTCAAGCCAGAAGTGCTTGGTTTTTAAACTCATTATCTTTAACAATTTTTACAACAATTGTGATTGTTTGGTGGTAAACACCAAAAAAATATTACTCATTTAGTAAAAATGGAAAATTCTAATTTTATACTCCTTCGATGTTTATAATTTTCACGTTTAATGGCTCTAAGAATCTCTTAGCATTGATAAAACAGGGTGCTTAAGCTGACTGAATAGTATTTTAATGTAATTACTTTTGTAAAAAAATAAAAATTTCAAAAGGCTTTTTCATTTCGAGTTTTTGTGAAATAAACTTAACTTGAATAGAATGGCATAAAAATTTTCAATATTTCAGAATTTAGGTAAATTTTTTTCTAATTCAGTATTGATAGGGGATGGGTCGCAAGTTACCCGTCATCCCCAGGTCCAATTAAACTTAATCCAACTTAGTGTAAACCTCCAACCTTTGTACCTCTACTCAACTGGGCAAATGGAGAACTTTTTATTCCAATTATATTTCGATATTTTTATGCATTTTCGATTCCAACAAACGGATTTGGTTTGACAGATTTGTTCTTAACACATACTGAAAAATAATATGTTTTTTTAAACGAACTAAATTTTAGTTGCATAGTTTCTAGAACTTCCCAACCGATCTGTCTTATTGAGAAACAGCTTTTCAAGTGAAAGACGCAGATCATTTCTGTATCCCGCTGCTCATTGATTTAACTCATTAAAATACGACTCATCAGTCTTCTTATGTACAGTATTCATTAGACGCTGTCAAGCTCTGAGCTCATTAAAATAATGTAATTTTTTTTCTAAAAGTATAATTTATCTGCAACAACAAAATGAGCTCACTTTTTCCCTTAAAATGATTTCTCCATAAAATGATCTTTTTCATTATTTAAATAATAAGATTACCATTTTGGGAACATTAAATGATTAACCCTTTGAGACACCGGTGTGCTATATATAT